TGATAGTGTTCAGTGTCCACTGGGGGGCGCCAGAACGCCGTGGGTGAGTCGTCGATTGTCCAGGGACAGGAATGTCCCGGGAGTAAGAGCAGAGTTTTGATCTCTGATCTCGCCAGGCAGAAAGGTACAAAGATGTTTACCCTGGTGCTCGATTTAAAGCTCTGGTTGACACTTATGGTCTCGGTGACCGATGATGTCCTCTGGCCGACCCTGCTGTTCCTTAGATGTGGCTGTGAGGTGTCCTCCCCCCCTGGGGCGGATGTTTACGCAGCCCAGTGCCTGGTCCATGTCTGACCGGCTCTGTCCTTTAATTCACCTTACACTTTCAATGGGAACGTTTTGAAGAAGACACCTTTTATTCTTAATACTCTATTATTTTGTAATCAATAATAGATGAAATGACTGATAAAGATATTGATGAACTACATTTGGGGCTTAATATTTTTCTCTGGATTGTTTAGGCCTAGGACAGACATGAAAACACTGAAGGCATGTTTGAAAGTGACAAACAAATCAACTCTACTCTACTGGCCTCTTTATTCATTTGAAAACTAGGATGAAGAAAGAGAAGACCTCCTGATTAAAGTCGATCCATCACTGAAAAAATGACTCAGGAGAAAATAAAAGAACCTTTATTCACTGACAGTGGAGAAATGTCAATGTTGCAGCGCACATACAGGACAGTATTAAAAGCTCACAGAATATACAATTTAAATATAAATGTTAAATAAAAATATATATGGAAAAGTTAAAAACATATTTAACAGGATAAAAGTGAATTGGTTGGACATTCTTAAATTGCAGTATTGCACATTATTGCAATATTTACTATTCACAGATGAACATGTACAGGCGCACACACATACAAAATACACACACAGACACACACATACAAAATACACACACACAGACAAGAGCCCACACACACATAGACAAGAGCCCACATACACACACACACATACAAAATACACACACACAGACAAAATACACACACACACACACACACTTCTAATACCAGCTTTTCCCTGTGCTCCTAAACGCATCACTGCTCAGTGTCTCATAAGGATCCGGTTGTCGTGGTTACATGCAGCTCTTTGCTGTAGAATTTATGTCTCACTAAATCCATCCGATTCTGTGACTGAAGTAAATGTGGCGTTTGACTCACAATCTTTTGTATTACATAAAAAGGTGCAAAGCTAACGCTGTCAGAACAAATGCCCATATTAGGAAACAGGCTCCAGCTAATGTTCAAATCAGCTTCTTCTGCATTAAAGGGATAGTCTGGAACTCTATATGAATTACAAATGTTAAGAATTGCATTAAATTGACCTCCTGGCCTTAAATGTTGATATAAAATAAGTAATTTTATTAATTACGAGTAATTCCCGCCTTCCCTTCTCTTAATTAAGAATTAAAATCCAGATTTCAAAAGGCTATAACTTTAAAGTCATCTAATTTACATATCATGACGTCATCAAGGTGGCGGCCATATTGGACAATGTCATTAAAATGTACATTGACAAAAGGTCAATGTGAAATGTCTTTAGTATAAAATCTTAAGTGTTCTTAGTATTTTACACACCTGAAGTACAAGCAGAGTGCGTTGCTAAAGGGCAGCGACCATTAATGGTTTGAGAGTCAGTTATCAAGAAATAAATGATTGAACGTTTTGAAATTACATTCAAATCAATGGAGCGATTCTACTGCTGCTGTGAGGAGCGAGTTATAAATTAGGAATAAATATTCAAATATTTATATTTATAATCTCTCTTCCGCACGTCTTGGACCATTGACCTGGCGTGTGCACAGAAAAGTAGGCGTGGCTTCAAGACCAATCAGAAAGGAAGGGGGAGGAGCTTGGGTCGTTAATTTTCAAATCACGAACCTCTCTCTCTCTTTTCTGACAAACTCCAGACAATCCCTTAAAGGCTAACCACTGTGAGGTCACACTGTCAGACCACTGAATAATTATGTATATATTACTAACTACATACTTTTTATTAGAGCTGCACAATATTGGAAACTAGAGCGATATTCGATATGACTGTTTAGTATTTCGATAACAATATTATTGCGATAATTTTGTCTTTCACCTAAAATTGCATCTGCATTGAAACGTAAGATACAAAATGACATTCAAATGCATATGTCGGTGGGTGCAAAATGGGTGGTGGGTTTTAATAAGGTTTTATTTATATTTTATGCATTTTGTGTGTGTGTGCTTCTAACATTGATTTGAACTTGCACCACCCGAAGCACCCCGGCTACCCACGTGATGACAATTAGAACACCTGTGCCTTGCGTACAAAATGAGAGATGGGGAGGGGGCGGAGAGAGGAAGCAGGACGAAGCGGGAGACACAGGAGACAGACACGGCGAGGGGTGACCCCATGGTCCGGCGGCCCAGGTCGTGCAGAAGGGTTTTTAGCCTCTTTAACTTTTATCCCGGGCTTTTAGCTTAGGTTTTATTGCTTTTATTCATTTACTTATTTTTTATGTATTTTATAATAAATTGCTTTTAATTTACTTTTAATCCAGTGGTCTTTTTTAAACCCGGGTCCGAAGAACCTGTTTTTTTTACACTTGTGACACATATACCTATATACTTATTTGTTCTTGTTGAATGTCTGTTCTTGTCTGTTTTGTTGTCTTTAATAAAGGAAAAATATAATATATATAGTAGGGCTGTCAAACGATTAAAATGTTTTAGTTGATTAATCGCATAGTACTGGTGAGTTAACTCACGATTAATCACATTTTTAACGTTCTATTTCAAATCCACTCCAATTGAAGTTAAATAAGATTATCAAATGTAATGACACATTGTCATTCAAACCAAATGTACTTAAATCTGTTTGATTCACAACAATTTAATTTTGGGCGAAACCAACATGAGCTGTTAATGAAAGGGAACATTTACGTACCCCAGCTTTAATTTAAGTAAGTAAGTAAGTAAAGTTTATTTGTATAGTGCATTTCACAGACCAGGGTCACAAAGCGCTTCACACATTAAAATACATAAAATACACATACAAATTTAGCGAGTTTAGTGGCGAGGAGACTCGGACACTTCCTGAGGCTCCATAGTTCAGCTTCAGCGGTGTGTTTGTGTGCACAGGTTACGCACAGAGTGTATGGTCTTGGATCACGTTACCGCAGCGCCATTTTCTGTGTTATTGTCAGCGGCCATCAGCCCGCATCCTCCGTGGCCACTGACACAGAGGATGTTTGTTCTGAGTGATATTATGGACACATGGGTCATTCTGAGTGATATTATGGACACATGGGCAGGTCATTCGAACATGCGTTGATGCGTTAAAAAAAAAAAAAACGCAATAATGAAACATTTAATTAACGTGCGTTAACGCAATAATTTTGACAGCCCTAATATATATATATATATATATATTTGTTTTATTAAACCGTGAGCTTATTGAACACAGAACGGTGTGTGTCAGTGACCCGTGTAAATCCTCACATCCAAACCAGGTCTTCAGGTTAAGTCCAGAGATGATGTCTGTTCTTGTCTTCTTATGTGTTGCAGAACACGTTCAAAGACAGTCTTGGTTTTATTAAGTTCATGTATAATCTTCTCCATCGCAGCAACAGTCTTTAATGCAGAGTTCCTCTTAATGTCTCCAACTGGCTTCAGTTGGCGGAAGGGGACTTTAAATGTTAGAACTTTAATCACAGCGTCGTATTCCTGCAGCTGCTTGCAGCATCTCTTCACATTGTTCACCCGTGTCTGTAACTGCTTCACTGTGGATATGAACTTTCTTTTTGTGGCCTTGATTTTCTTTACTGCCTCCTTCTTTGCTCTGCTGCTGTTTGTTCTGAATATGAGGTCTGCAACAGATTCAACAGCAAGATCAACAACAGCAACAGGAGCAGCACCAGCAGTAGCACCAGCAGCAGCAGCTCCGATTCCAACCAATGTCAAACTCAGTCCTCCTGTGAATGGAGCAGCAGCGACACCTACAGCGGCTCCTACAACGGCTCCTACAACGGCTCCTAGACCTATAATGACTGTAGTCAGCATTGCTACATTTCTCTTCTCAATCTTTTCCGTCTGTTCATGAATACACCTGGTCAGATCGTCCTTGTTTGTTTCAAAGAAGTCCAGAAAACGCTTGATGGACTGATTCAGTGAAAAATGTGGAGGAAAGTCTTTGCTCCGTCTTCTCCTGGAACAAAACAGAACAGAGATGAGACTGAGAGGAGACTGAAAGGAGAAAGAGATGAGACTGAGGAGTCAGAGGAGGAGAGACAGGAAGAGACAGAGGAGGAGACAGAAGAGGAGACAGAGGAGGAGAGAGAGAGGAGACAGAGAGGAGACAGAGGAAGAGACAGAGGAGGAGAGAGAGAGAGGAAGAGACAGAAGATGAGACAGAAGAGACAGAGGAGAAGAGAGAGGAAGAAACAGACAGATTCAACAGCAAGATCAACAACAGCAACAGCAGCAGCACCAGCAGTAGCACCAGCAGCAGCAGCTCCGATTCCAACCAATGTCAAACTCAGTCCTCCTGTGAATGGAGCAGCAGCGACACCTACAGCGGCTCCTACAACGGCTCCTACAACGGCTCCTAGACCTATAATGACTGTAGTCAGCATTGCTACATTTCTCTTCTCAATCTTTTCCGTCTGTTCATGAATACACCTGGTCAGATCGTCCTTGTTTGTTTCAAAGAAGTCCAGAAAACGCTTGATGGAGTGATTCAGTGAAAAATGTGGAGGAAAGTCTTTGCTCCGTCTTCTCCTGGAACAAAACAGAACAGAGATGAGACTGAGAGGAGACTGAAAGGAGAAAGAGATGAGACTGAGGAGTCAGAGGAGGAGAGACAGGAAGAGACAGAGGAGGAGACAGAAGAGGAGACAGAGGAGGAGAGAGAGAGGAGACAGAGAGGAGACAGAGGAAGAGACAGAGGAGGAGAGAGAGAGAGGAAGAGACAGAAGATGAGACAGAAGAGACAGAGGAGGAGAGAGAGAGGAAGAGACAGAAGATGAGACAGAGGAGACAGGAGAAGAGAGAGGAAGAAACAGAGGAGGAGAGAGAGGAAGAAACAGAGGAGGAGAGAGAGGAAGAGACAGAGGAGGAGAGAGAGGAAGAGAGAGAGAGGAAGAGACAGAGGAGGAGAGAGAGAGGAAGAGACAGAAGAGGAGACAGAGGAGGAGAGAGAGAGAGGAAGAGACAGAGAGGAGACAGAGGAGGAGAGAGAGAGAGGAAGAGACAGAGAGGAGACAGAGGAGGAGAGAGAGGAGGAGAGAGAGAGGAAGAGACAGAAGATGAGACAGAGGAGACAGGAGAAGAGAGAGGAAGAAACAGAGGAGGAGAGAGAGGAAGAAACAGAGGAGGAGACAGAAGAGGAGACAGAGAGGGAGACAGAGGAGAAGAGAGAGGAAGAAACAGAGGAGGAGAGAGAGGAAGAGACAGAGGAGGAGAGAGAGGAAGAGAGAGAGAGGAAGAGACAGAGGAGGAGAGAGAGGAAGAGACAGAAGAGGAGACAGAGGAGGAGAGAGAGAGAGAGGAAGAGACAGAGAGGAGACAGAGGAGGAGGAGAGAGAGAGGAAGAGACAGAGGAGACAGGAGAAGAGAGAGGAAGAAACAGAGGAGGAGACAGAAGAGGAGACAGAGGAGGAGAGAATATCAAAATCATAACTAGAAACTTGCAATGGCTGAAGCCATTGCGATTAACTGCGGACCAGATCTAATGTGGAATTTAGCTGAAAAATCCTTGAAATCCTTGAAACTGTTAAAATACTTTAAACATCTTTGAAACTCCTGAAGTATTTGAAGCTCCTGATATCCTTTAAACTGTTATCCTTTATACTGGTTTACATGTAAAAACCCCTATTAAGTTGCATTATACTGGTTTACATGGAAAAATCCCCATTAAGTTGCATTATACTGGTTTACATGTAAAAAACCCTATTAAGTTGCATTATACTGGTTTACATGGAAAAATCCCTATTAAGTTGCATTATACTGGTTTACATGTAAAAATCCCTATTAAGTTGCATTATACTGGTTTACATGTAAAAACCCCTATTAAGTTCCATTATACTGGTTTACATGTAAAAACCCCTATTAAGTTCCATTATACTGGTTTACATGTAAAAAACCCTATTAAGTTCCATTATACTGGTTTACATGTAAAAAAAAAACCCTATTAAGTTGCATTATACTGGTTTACATGTAAAAACCCATATTAAGTTGCATTATACTGGTTTACATGGAAAAATCTCCATTAAGTTGCATTATACTGGTTTACATGAAAAAAACCCTATTAAGTGGCATTATACTGGTTTACATGAAAAAAACCCTATTAAGTTGCATTATACTGGTTTACATGGAAAAATACCTATTAAGTTGCATTATACTGGTTTACATGGAAAAATCCCTATTAAGTTGCATTATACTGGTTTACATGGAAAAAACCCTATTAAGTTGCATTATACTGGTTTACATGTAAAAACCCCTATTAAGTTGCATTATACTGGTTTACATGGAAAAATCCCCATTAAGTTGCATTATACTGGTTTACATGTAAAAACCCCTATTAAGTTGCATTATACTGGTTTACATGGAAAAATCCCTATTAGGTTGCATTATACTGGTTTACATGGAAAAATCCCTATTAAGTTGCATTATACTGGTTTACATGGAAAAAACCCTATTAAGTTGCATTATACTGGTTTACATGGAAAAATCCCTATTAAGTTGCATTATACTGGTTTACATGGAAAAAACCCTATTAAGTTGCATTATACTGGTTTACATGTAAAAACCCCTATTAAGTTGCATTATACTGGTTTACATGGAAAAATCCCCATTAAGTTGCATTATACTGGTTTACATGTAAAAACCCCTATTAAGTTGAATTATACTGGTTTACATGGAAAAATCCCTATTAAGTTGCATTATACTGGTTTACATGGAAAAATCCCTATTAAGTTGCATTATACTGGTTTACATGGAAAAAACCCTATTAAGTTGCATTATACTGGTTTACATGTAAAAACCCCTATTAAGTTGCATTATACTGGTTTACATGGAAAAATCCCCATTAAGTTGCATTATACTGGTTTACATGTAAAAACCCCTATTAAGTTGCATTATACTGGTTTACATGGAAAAATCCCTATTAGGTTGCATGATTACACTGAAGTCCTTGAAACTGGTGAAGTCCTTGAAACTGTTGAAGTCCTTGAAACTGTTGAAGTCCTTGAAACTCTTGAAACCTTGAAACTGCTGAAGTCCTTGAAACTGTTGAATCCTTGAAACTGTTGAATCATTGAAACTGTTGAATCATTGAAACTGTAGAAATGTCTGAAAGAGCTGAAGTCCTATTAAAATGCATGGGCCTATTAAAATGCATTGCAGAATTCTCAATGCAAATTAATGGCAGAATTCCCAAGTCCCGTAGAAAAAAACTGGAAAACTGCAGAACTCTATTTTTTTCTGAAAACTCACAAGTTGTGGAAGCTGAACATGCACAAACTGCAGAAAATGCTGAAAATGTTGAAGAAAATTCTGAAAACTATGAATTTGTGGAAGCCCCATTATAAGTCAATGGGAAAAATCGACCGATTTTTGTCCGATTGCGGAAAAACCGGAAATCGCTGAAGTCCCAAAAGTAATAGCAATAATCTCCCAAACATGTGGAACGTTTTGATGTATAACTTGTGGAAATTGTTGAAAATGTGAAAGCTGTGAAACGTGTCAAAAATCAGGAAAAAGACGGAATAAAGAAAACCAAAACCAATGGTTGACTGCGGAAGGTTCCGCAGTCAATCAATAAATAGTCTTTAAAAACGTCTAAAACCAGGTGTCGATCGTCAGCTGTTGATGTAAAAGACTAAGAGTCACTGTGAGGGTTCTTTATAGGTACACTGTGTAATTTTTACTGCCATCTAGTGTTGAGATCTTATATTGCAGTCCAGGGTACTACGGAGGCCTTTGATGGAAAAGATGTGTCTTTGACAGTGCTCCTGATTCACCATTCAAGGGAAAAAATACTTTAGTTTGATAAATTACCGGATCTCTCCAAACGTCTCAGGCACTTGACAGTCGCGTGGAGGCGACATGTAAACATCACAGCGTTCAGACGCGGCACACGCTGTACAGAGGCTGCACTGAGTTTTACCATAGATCTATTTGATTGACTGCGGAACCTTCCGCAGTCAACCATTGGTTTTGTATTTCTTTATTCCGTCATTTTTTTTTGACACGTTTCACAGCTTTCACATTTTCAACAATTTCCACAAGTTATACATCAAAACGTTCCACATGTTTGGGAGATTATTGCTATTACTTTTGGGACTTCAGCGATTTCCGGTTTTTCCGCAATCGGACAAAAATCTGCATTGAGAATTCTGCAATGCATTTTAATAGGCCCATGCATTTTAATAGGACTTCAGCTCTTTCAGACATTTCTACAGTTTCAATGATTCAACAGTTTCAAGGATTCAACAGTTTCAAGGATTTCAGCAGTTTCAAGATTTCAAGAGTTTCAAGGACTTCAACAGTTTCAAGGACTTCAGCAGTTTCAAGGACTTCAGCAGTTTCAAGGACTTCAGCAGTTTCAAGGACTTCAGTGTAATCATGCAACCTAATAGGGATTTTTCCATGTAAACCAGTATAATGCAACTTAATAGGGATTTTTCCATGTAAACCAGTATAATGCAACTAAATAGGGTTTTTTCATGTAAACCAGTATAATGCAACTTAATAGGGGTTTTTTCCATGTAAACCAATATAATGCAACTTAATAGGGGTTTTTACATGTAAACCAGTATAATGCAACTTAATAGGGTTTTTTCCATGTAAACCAGTATAATGCAACTTAATAGGGTTTTTTCCATGTAAACCAGTACAATGCAACTTAATAGGGATTTTTCCATGTAAACCAGTATAATGCAACTTAATGGGGATTTTTCCATGTAAACCAGTATAATGCAACTTAATGGGGATTTTTCCATGTAAACCAGTATTATGCAACTTAATAGGGATTTTTCCATGTAAACCAGTATAATGCAACTTAATAGGGATTTTTCCATGTAAACCAGTATAATGCAACTTAATGGGGATTTTTCCATGTAAACCAGTATTATGCAACTTAATAGGGGTTTTTACATGTAAACCAGTATAATGGAACTTAATAGGGGTTTTTACATGTAAACCAGTATAATGCAACTTAATAGGGATTTTTACATGTAAACCAGTATAATGCAACTTAATAGGGATTTTTCCATGTAAACCAGTATAATGCAACTTAATAGGGTTTTTTACATGTAAACCAGTATAATGCAACTTAATAGGGATTTTTCCATGTAAACCAGTATAATGCAACTTAATAGGGTTTTTTACATGTAAACCAGTATAATGCAACTTAATAGGGGTTTTTACATGTAAACCAGTATAATGGAACTTAATAGGGGTTTTTACATGAAAACCAGTATAAAGGATAACAGTTTAAAGGATATCAGGAGCTTCAAATACTTCAGGAGTTTCAAAGATGTTTAAAGTATTTTAACAGTTTCAAGGATTTCAAGGATTTTTCAGCTAAATTCCACATTAGATCTGTTCCGCAGTCAATCGCAATGGCTTCAGCCATTGCAACGGTTTCTAGTTTAATATATAGTTTTACCATGGATCTATTTTAATATATAGTTTTACCATGGATCTATTTTAATATATAGTTTTACCATGGATCTATTTTAATATATCGTTTTACCATGGATCTATTTTAATATATAGTTTTACCATGGATCTATTTTAATATATAGTTTTACCATGGATATATTTTAATATATAGTTTTACAAACGCGGTGTGAAGAGAAGAGACACATGGAGGAATAATGTCTGTGAGAGCTTAAAACTATGATGATCAAAGAAGCAGGAGATATACAGGTAACTGTGGTCCTCCATGGTTCTTTTATATAACTGTGGTCCTCCATGGTTCTTTTATATAACTGTGGTCCTCCATGGTTCTGTTATATAACTGTGGTCCTCCATGGTTCTTTTATACAACTGTGGTCCTCCATGGTTCTTTTATATAACTGTGGTCCTCCATGGTTCTTTTATACAACTGTGGTCCTCCATGGTTCTTTTATACAACTGTGATCCTTCATGGTTCTTTTATATAACTGTGGTCTTCCATCGTTCTTTTATACAACTGTGGTCCTCCATGGTTCTTTTATATAATTGCGGTCCTCCATGGTTCTTTTATATAACTGCGGTCCTCCATGGTTCTTTTATATAACTGTGGTCCTCCATGGTTCTTTTATATAACTGTGGTCCTCCATGGTTCTTTCATATAACTGTGGTCCTCCATGGTTCTTTTATATAACTGTGGTCCTCCATGGTTCTTTTATATAACTGTGGTCCTCCATGGTTCTTTTATATAACTGTGGTCCTCCATGGTTCTTTTATATAACTGCGGTCCTCCATGGTTCTTTTATATAACTGTGGTCCTCCATGGTTCTTTTATATAACTGGTCCTCCATGGTTCTTTTATATAACTGTGGTCCTCCATGGTTCTTTTATATAACTGTGGTCCTCCATGGTTCTTTTATATAACTGTGATCCTCCATGGTTCTTTTATATAACTGTGGTCCTCCATGGTTCTTTTATATAACTGTGGTCCTCCATGGTTCTTTT